ACAATTTATCAATGAGTACATATCGTTAGGGCACATGCAAAAAATAGAATTGCAGCTCGATGAGAGTTCCCCATGTTTTTATTTACCGCATCATTGCGTATTCAAATCTAACAATCAAACGTCAAAGATCCGCGTAGTATTTGACGCTTCATGCAAATCTACCGAGGGCTTATCTTTAAATGATGCACTTATGATAGGGCCAGTAGTGCAGCAAGAGCTAACATCCATACTCATCCGATTTCGTTTCTTCATTTATGTTTTTAGCGCCGACGTAATAAAAATGTATAGACAAGTATTGGTGGATCCTTCTCAAACACGTCTACAAAGGATACTATGGCGGGACGACCCTGCTAACAACGTCGACACATACGAACTATTGATAGTTACGTATGGAACATCATCAGCTTCATACTTGGCCACCAGGTGCCTTACTTATCATGCCGATCAATACGCAGCTAAGTACCCGGTAGGCTCTAGAGAGGTGAAACGCAGTTTTTACGTAGATGACTTTTTGTCGGGAGCAGATACTCTGCACGAGGCTAAGGTACTCCGAGATGAACTAATAGAATTGCTGAGAATAGGATCTTTCGAACTCAGTAAGTGGGCGTCGAATTGCCCAGAACTCCTAAAAAATATAAAGGATCGTGATGAGGAAGTAATTACCATTCATAACGAGACAGATTCTAGCATACTAGGGATTCAATGGAATCAAGTCAAGGATGTTTTTCACTTTGCATACAATTCAGACTCCACTAACAGCGCAGTATCTAAGCGCGTTATTCTTTCTGAAGTTTCCAGGTTGTTTGATCCTCTGGGTCTCCTCGGACCCGTCATTGTAATTGCCAAACTCATTCTTCAAGACCTGTGGAAGGCCGGCATCCATTGGGATGAATCTGTGCCGCAGGAATTACATACAAGCTGGCTAAAATTCAAGTCTCAATTACATGCTGTAAATCAGCTACAAATCCCTAGGGGTGTCAAATACAACCCAGACTCACAGCTCGTGCAATTACACGGGTTTTGTGATGCAAGTCAAAATGCATATGGCGCATGTATATATGTACGCACAACCATCGAATCTAGTGAATATCGTTCACAGTTGCTGTGTTCAAAATCCCGTGTGGCACCACTCAAGGCCGTGTCACTGCCAAGGCTTGAACTATCGGCAGCGGTTCTGTTAGCTCAACTCATAACTAAGGTGAAAGACTCATTGGGCTCGCCCATGCAAGCATTTCTTTGGTCGGACTCCACCATAGCATTGAATTGGATAGCTTCATCCTCGCGCAACTGGTCAGTATTCGTGGCAAATAGAGTCGGAGAAATTCAAAGGTTGACTCAGATCAGTCAGTGGCGTCACGTCTCCTCTTCCGACAATCCTGCAGACATACTATCCAGGGGCATATATCCGTATGATTTAATCGCATCATCCATGTGGTGGCACGGGCCCAGCTTTCTACAGTTGCATGAAAATCAGTGGCCATCGGGAAGTTTTACATATCCGAGGGAGGATATGCCCGAACAAAGAAGAATAGCCGCGATTGTCGTCAAGCATGACCAATGCATGGTCACCCAGCTATTAACCAAGCATTCAAGTCTAAACAAAATCCTTCGGATCATTGCGTATTGCATGAGATTTTCTACGAAACGGAATCTCGCGCCAAATAGAACAATATCTTCGTCTGAACTTTTACTTGTAACGGAAATCGTGTGCAGGGAGGTACAAAAACAAGTCTTCTCTAAAGAATACGAAGCATTAAAATTAGGAACGACCATTAATACAGGCAGCCGTCTATTGCCGTTAACTCCTTTCATGGATAAAGATGGCCTAATCCGGGTGGGCGGTAGGCTTAAAAACTCAAACCTAGATTTTGACGCATGCCATCCCATTTTGCTGCCGCGCAATCACGATTTAACACAAAAAATAATTAGACAAGAGCATATTCGGAATATGCACGCCGGAACACAAGGTACTATGGCCGCCGTCCGGCAACGTTTCTGGCCACTTTCGCTAAGATCCGCAGCGCGAAAGATCATACAAGAATGCGTAACTTGTTTTAAAGCAAAACCGCGATTCTCGGAAGCTTTAATGGGATCATTACCCGCCGGTCGAGTCACCCCATCTAGACCGTTCGCGCATTGTGGGATAGACTATGCCGGTCCAGTCACAATACGCGAAGGAAACAGGCGCAACTCTCGCAATCATAAGGCCTACATAGCCATTTTCGTATGCTTTGCCACTAAAGCCGCGCACATCGAAGTCGTAAGCAATTTGACGACAGACTGTTTTCTTGGTGCATTCAAACGTTTCATTGCGCGAAGAGGGAAACCGACCCACATGTACTCGGATAATGGGACCACCTTTGTCGGGGCAAAAAAGCAAATCAAGGAACTATACGAATTTTATAACAAACAAGAAACGCAGTCCGATCTCAATCAATTCTGTGCCAACGAGGGCATTTGCTGGGGATTCATTCCGCCCAACGCTCCCCATTTTGGCGGTTTATGGGAAGCGGCGGTAAAATCCGCCAAACATCACTTGACTAGAATTGTGGGCCAAGCCCATTTAAATTTTGAAGAACTGCAGACTGTATTATCTGAGATAGAAGCTATATTAAATTCGCGCCCTATCACGCCACTAAGCGTGGATCCCAACGACTTGTGTTATCATGGTCCGGGTCACTTTCTGGTTGGTACAGCACTAAATAGTTTTCCTTGCAGAGATTTCTGCGAGATCAATGAGAATAGGCTCCTACGATGGCAACGCGTGGAGCAACTTCGACAGCACTTTTGGCGCAGATGGAGTAGCGAGTACTTAGGCTCGTTGCAGGAAAGGTCGAAATGGAAACAAAATTCGGGCATTCAACTACGCGTCAATCAGCTCGTACTTGTAAAACAACAAAATCTACCCCCTCTACAATGGGCTATAGGTCGCGTCTTAGAGATTCATCCCGGATCCGACAATGTAAAACGAACTGCAACTATAAAAACCACCAAGGGTACTTATGTTAGACCATTGTCGAAGCTCGCGATATTACCCTCAGAAATCCAAACGACGGATAACTAATAAACGCAACTAAGATGAAATCTCACGTAATAGTCACGACGCGAATATTTAGCTATTAAGATATATCATAGGAAAATTTATATTCATGTCTTCCTTTCTCTAGTAATTTAGTTTAATTTGCAAACAAATATATATTATTATAGTTTATAGGATACTGTAATCACTATTTATAAGAGTACTAAACTCACGAAGTGCTATCAGTCATGGTTTATATTCTGTTGCGTTATTATCTTTATTTTATTGTACTGATAAGTCTTATATGTTTGCCTTGCGGCTCATTCTTTCTTCTATTCATTTTGAAAGCGCATTCTTTCAAGGCGGGCGGCGTTTGTTTGGTATTCAATAAACTATTTACGCGTATCGCCCGGTCAATCTACCCGCTCGAATTCGGGTACCCGCATATATATATGTCGGGTCCTTCGCCGTTGCCTTCGGGGGCTTCCGTTGCCGATCGCGACCCATCGTGCGCGGTCCCCGCTAATACGAATCAGAATCATCTCAGAGACAACGAGAGACACACGTGCGGCCGACATAGCCGGCTATTGTATACCATTATACGCTGTATTTCAATTAAGCATTTATACCTTGTATCTCGAGTGCGGTCACTACCTTCTAAGTTTTTTCAATAAATATAAGCAAGTGAGAGAGAAACATTCTCGGTCGTATATTCGTGAAGCACTCATTCCACGACAACATACGACGGGCACACGCCCGATAATTCAACTTACGTACATCCCGTACAATGGTAAAAGAGGAGATAGGGAAGGATAAATTTAGGACAAGGGCAGAAAGAAGAGTAGTAGGGTACGAGAAGAAGTTGGAGAAAGAAAGAGGAGAAAGTTTAGCAAGAAAATGCTATGAGGATATAAAAAGAGGATAAGAGAAGGAAAGGAGAGATCAGTTTGGGAAGAAGAGAGGGCAAAATTTTTTGAAGAAAGAGGAAAAAAAGGGAAGGAGATGGAGGAGAAGAGAGGGAGGGGAGAGGAAGTATACAAGGGATGGGAGCAGAAAGATAGAGAAATGCAGAAGGAGAAAAGATGAGAGAGGATAAGGGAATCAAGATATAATAGATGGTATGGAGAATGGAAGGAGGAGGGATTACCGGAATATCTGAGAAAAGGATGGGGGAAGAGTAGATGGAGAAGGATAGTGAGGTTTAGAATAAACAATAAAATGAGAGGGGCGAGATGCTGGAAAAAAGAGGAGAAAAGAAGATGTAGGCTATGTGGGATGGAAGATAAAACATGGGAACATGTAACAGGAGAATGTGGTGGAGAAGAGGGTAAGGAAAATTGATAGGAAAGAATGAAGGAAATAATGCAAAAAGGGGGAGAAGGGGAAGGATGGATGAGGAAATTGGAGAAAAAGAGGGAAAAGGGGAGAGCAGAAAAAGAAAAGGAAAGGGGTATAAAAAGGAGAATGAGTGGAGGTATGAATGAGATCTTGGAGAATGAATGGAGAACTGGAAGCCGAGGCAAAGCAAGGAAAATAGATAGGGACGACTCTTTCTCTCTCTCAATTAGATAGATAAGGTAGATTAAGTTAGAATTAAGTTAATTGTAAATTAGATGTAAGAGTAGAGTTAAGAATAGTTGTAAGTTAATATTGTAAGAGTTTATAAGGTTTGGGTACGCTCCTTAAAAGCGCCTTTAATCCCTAAGGGGACAAATAAAGAATTGAATTGAATTGAAATTAAATTATAAATATTAATTATATTAATAGTATTATAAAATTATAATATAAATTAAATTATAAATATTAATTACATTTGTATGTGTATGTCTACACCTATGCACAACACACAATCCTGCAATCAATAATATGTTATTTATAATTATAATTAATACATTATAATTATAATTAATAATTTATAATTATAATTAATAGTTTGCAATTATTATTAATAATTTGTAATTATTATTAATAATATAATATGTATAAACAATTGTACTGTACTTGTATTCAATAACAAAATTATATTTTACATCCGTGTTATGAGGATTTTTCAGTGTCACATCATACACTACATATCTTATTTTTTTAATTTTCTGAAATATATTCATATTACATGCATGCAGTTTGCTTATAAGTCTACTTAAAGTTAATTGTAGAAAATTACATTTTGAGTTTTAGACATAAAAAGTATTCACAAATTATCTAAAATTTATTTCGTTTTGGGCACGACTCGATTTGATTTTTGCGAAATTTTACATGTCCTTAAGCTTTTGTGACGTTTGAGATTACCTTTTGAGCGTGTAGCTCTTACCACATAATATAAAGGCGGGTCTTTTGCAGAGTGAATTTCCTTTTTGTGTTTGATCAATGTTTTGTTCATGCCAAAACGTTTGCCGCATATATCGCACGTGTTACTCGACACGCCCGTGTACACCGTCAAATGGTCCATTATATGAGATTTATCGGACGCGACTCGACTTGACTTTCGCGAAATTTTACATGTCCCTAAACTTTCGTGACGTCTGAGATTACCTTTAAGTGTGTAACTCTTGCCACATTGACATGTATAGGCGGGTTTTATCTCGGAGTGCGTCTCCCTTTTGTGTCTAATCAAGGTTCTTTTCATGCCAAAATATTTGCCACATATATCGCATGCGTGATTCTTCACGCCCGTGTGCAACGTCAAATGGTCTATCATACTAGATTTATACAAAAAATTCTTGCCGCAATAAGCGCATTTATGCGGGAAATTGCCTATATGAATCTTAATGTGATTATATAATCTCGTTTTGGATGTGAATGCTTTGTTACAAGTATCACACATGTACGGCCGTTCACCGGTATGGATACGCCGATGATCTTCCATAGCGGACTTTTCCGCAAAACTTTTGTCACATATGTTGCAAGGATGCTTCTTAGGGTTGTGGATGTTCCTTCGATGACGAACCAGATTACAAAGCGTACTGAATTTCTTAGAACAGAGACGGCACTTGTACGTTGTCTCATTTTCGTGATAGCGTTCATGATCACGATAACTTTTTCGCGAAAAAAATTTTTTATTACAGAGCTTGCAAATTCTATCTGTATCATCTATCTGCTTCCTCTCGCTTGTGTGTTTCGTCGAGTGATGCAGCATATCCTGTTTACTTTTAAATCCCTTGCCGCAATAGTCGCACTTGTGCGGGAAATCGTCTGTATGACTTTTGATATGTTCCTTCAAGTTCTTTGTGCAGCTGAACGACTTGTCGCATATTTTACACAAGTAAGGAAGTTCACTGGTATGGATACGCCGATGGTCTTCTATGGTGGTTTTGCTCTTGAAGTTTTTGTCATATATGTCGCAAGGGTGATCTTTCTTAACATAGTGGATGTTCTTTTGATGACGAATCAGACTATCAAGTGTACGGAATACCTTAAAGCAGGGATAGCACTTGTACTCTGTCTTATCTTCGTGTTGGCGTACAAGGTGAGTAAGGTAGCTTTTCTGATAAGTAAATGTTTTATTACAGAACTGGCAAATCATATCTGTATCATCGATGAGTGCAACCCTTTTCGCTTTAGATTGTTTAACATTCTCTTCAAGACACACATTAGATTCGTTCATCTTGGCACCTTGGCACTTTCTCGCTATGTCATTAGTCTTTTTCGTGACATTACTTGTGCCCACTTGTTCAGCAGAAATGTAATCTCTGTTGTTTCTATTTTTGTTTAAATTTTCTGGAATTAAATTCGAATCTGGTCCGACTGAACTTAATTCTCGCGATTTTTCACACATCCCTAATTTTAAGCGTTTGTGCTTTTTGAGATCATTTTTACGCTTGTAACTCTTGCCACATTTACATGTATACGGTTTTTCCATGGAGTGTACAATTTTTTTGTGGTTGTATAACATGTCCTTTCGGGCGAAGCACTTACCACATACATCGCATATTTGATTTCTTTCATTCGTATGCTTCGTCAAGTGATACAGCATATCCCGTTTACGTGTAAATCCCTTGTCGCAATAAACGCATTTGTGCGGAAAATCGCCTGTATGTTTCATGATGTGTAATTTCAATTCCTTTTTAGAGCGGTATGACTTGTTGCAGACGTCACACAAGTAAGAGCGTTCACCGATATCTATACCGGTACGCCGATGGTCTTTCATGGTAGTTTTGCCCGCGAAGGGGCAAAACATTTTCGTCAAGACACGCATTATATTCGTTTACCTTGGCACCTTGGCCTGTCCTTGGGATGTTATTTATTTTTTCTTGCAACTTCTTGCGGGCCTGTCTAATAAAAAAGCACCTTTTGTCCTTTTTATTTCTTTTCCTTCTCGCAACTTGATTCATCCGACGAACTCATTTTGGGAAATGTATTTATGTCAGACGAGCGTTTCTTTGATCGATCGTTGGCAATATTATACGTAGAGATCAGATATACTTTTGTTTCTTTGACGAGCGTAATCGCTTCTCACTTTGGATCGAATTGATTTTATTACTGTATTTTCCGTCGAATATTTTGTACCATTATCGAAAGTAACTACGATCAGTTGTCCAATCTTGCATAATTTTTTTAATCTAAAAAAAAAGTAACTATATGTGAACAAATTTCATTATAAATATTCATTAAATTAGCGTTTCATTTTTGGTGTTTCATCAATTTTCATCAAACACGAAACATATTTAAAACCAATCGTAAAATTATGTGACATTCGTATTATCTAGAGATTTAATTAATTTGTATTTGTAAATATTTGCATATAAAATGATTACTATATTACAATTTTGTCTATAATATTTATATATATAACATATAAATATTCTTTAATAACTATTTATCATTATTATAATACAAAAACAATTATACCACAAAAGCAGATTTTTTTGTAATTAAAAAATATACATATGATAATAAAGAACATTATTTATCATTTTATATTTGCTAATTGTAAGTAATGTGTAATGCAAACAAAATATATAATAAAATTTTTCTTTCTTGAACAGCCACATTCATTATAATTACTAAGCTCCTCATATCAATAGAATTTCACATGTACTATATATATATATTGTATATATTATATATATATATAAATACATACAACATTGCTAAACATACTTAAAAATAAATAAAACTGCTAAAATATAAGCAGAAAAGTTATTGACCTGTTTGATATAGAATTTTTATGGAATAATATTAAAATATTTCCTAAAATTTACTTACACACACACACACACACACACACACACACACACACACACACACACGTACATGCACATGCACACACGCGCACGCACACACGCACACGAACATACACACAATTAAACTGATTTTCTTGTTTTTTAACAAATTTTACAGCAAAATTTGGTGTCAATTTCAAAATTATTGAATATTACATAGGGTATTATTATGTTACGTAATTATTCTATGTCTTTATTTTCTTGATAGCATTTAATCAAAGTTTATTTTTGTTTGATTATTTCTCAATTATAATTGTCTGAAAAAATATTAATTTTTGAAAAATAATGACAAAAATATATGCAATATAAATAATCTCCACATAATTTGCTTTTTGTTACAGGAATCTTTTCAATCCATAATTTAATTGTCCATAAACAATTGCTTTTTTATATATTATTATTTTATTTATTTTTTTTATATTACTAGAATACTACACTGCACGTGCTTCATGCGCATTTTATTTCTTTTGCTATACAATATATTAGATTAATTATATTATTATATTATGCATTATATTTTTTAATACTATATTTATTATATTATATATTCTATATATACGTATAAATTCAAATATACATATGTATATTAAATATCTTTTTTTATTCAATATAATCTTACAAATCTATCTACTGTAGTCCCACTAAACACTTAATATATCATCGATGTTATAATTTCCCTTTCAACAATGTAACTGTTACGTTACAAGGCATGTTATATTGCGGTTACATTGTTAAGTGGAAAATGATAAAATTGATGTTATATTACTGTTTTTAATGGATATTAAAACATTCGATATATGATTAAGATATCCTATATACATTGAAAAACACAAGTCAAATATATTTCGATATATCGCATACACATATATGCAGGTAAGATTCTTTTTAAACAAGCTACATTTGTTAATTGCAATATCAATTGGAGTGGATAAGACGCTGTTTAAAAATATTAATCTGATTAATATTGTAAGTAAATCTTATCATTTTTTATATCTGATATTTATTTATTTTGTTATTTTTTGCTATTATTTTTTCATTTCTTTGAACACTCTTTTCCTTTAGATTTAGCTTCATCAGTTCTTATATCTTTTGACATTTTACTTTTCTTTCTATTAATCTATTTCTTAACAGTACACACATCTGAAAGATGTTCATAATATATCTTCAAGATAATATATTATAATTTATTATATTATTTGTTTATTATTGGTTTTATTTTTAATTAAATATCTACTGTAATTAATAGTACTTATTTTTTTCTAAATAAAATTATTATAATATATCGTTTAAATACAAATATTGATATAAATATATGTAATTTTACAACAGTTTATTTGTAAACATTGTAATATATACAATGTTTATGTAATATATACAAAACAATATACATATATATATATATATATATATATATATATAAAATTATTATATTATAAAATATGTATATAAATTTAATAGATACTTCATCTAGACGATGTGCAAGCATGAACATCAAAAGTTAGTAAATTTAATAATGGTAATGTGCCATTTGAATTACATATTAAGGCTCCTGCATACTCGATTGCCAAGTCCGTGTTGACGGTGACGACTTAATTAAAAACAGTAGAAATAAGAATCTCTATATTGTTTTTAGAAAATAAAAGATATATAATAATAAACAAAAATAATATACAGAAAGATACGGAGAATTTTAGTGGGATTTATAATCGTGTTCTTGATGCTATTTAAATTATTTTTATTTTTACCTATTTATTTATTTATTTGACTTTGTTATGAGGTTTTAGATTGCAAAAAACACATTAGTTTTGTCTCGATTTTCTTAACGCGTAGTGACTAAGATTCTTGCTAACTGTTAACATCTATTTATTTCTTGCTTACTTCTGTCAATTCTACATTGTTCATTAAAACAATAGTGAATTTGTCGGTGGTATGCAATGAATTTAATTTACTGTATTAATTTATTATGCATTTACGTTTGGTATGTAACATATTTTTGTATATGAATTTATAATTATTTGTTGTAATAAAATGTATTAAAATCATAATTATTTTTATGTAACTTTTTATAGATTTACTTGAAAATGGCCGCAATGACAGCCGAAACGTTGTATTTTAACTAATTATTTATAATAAATGATTGCCAGTTTGGTCGACTTTTACCATTGAGGAAAGATTTTTATTAATTATTACTGGCGAACCTTAAGGATTATTATCTAAAAATAATATAATTAATAAATAATACAATTTTCATTTTTATAAATGTAAATGACATTTTAGCAAGCTAAATTATTCTTGCGATTTACAGCGTTATTTTTCGTTTTACTGCAGTATTTTTATGTTTAAAATAATTATCGTGGTGTTAAAATATAACGAAAAACAATTTTAGCATAATTTCATATGTAAAAGCAAATATTTATTTCGATACCTGTCAAACAGCTGGTTTTCGTCCGCGGTTAAGCTCAATTCAATTCGATATATGTATACCATATTATTTATTAAATATCCAAACAAAAGGAGTTTTCAGTATATTTCACATGTCTGTTCATCGATTTCAAGCGCTATTTTATTAAATAAAGCGGGGAGCACACACTCTTGCATAAACGCATAAGCGTAAGCATAAGAATCTTGATTGGTCTATAAACGTATGCATGAAAAATTCAATCAATCGAATTTCTTATGCATATGCTTATGCGCTTATGCAAGAGTGTGTGCTCCTCGCTTAACTAATTTATTTTAACGTAAATCGCAAGAATTTTCATAATAGGTTTTCTCGCTTCTGACTTCATCAATCCAAGATGGCCGCAGTGAGTATGCAGGATCCTTAAAACAATACTATTTTGTCAACTTTGGTAGATATAAACCCACAAATACAACAAAGAAGGATGTTAAAAAAAGTCGATTTCCCGACTATCGATAGAACCTAAAATTCTTCTATGGGTATCTATGAATCATATAAGATGTAAAAATAATGGTCTTTTTTCCTAGAGATCTGGGGAAAATATTGAAAATCTATCAAAACTATTAAAAATAGTGTCATTCGATCGATCTGAAGACAACTAAAATGGACGACATGGATGAATTTTCAATCAAACCAAGTTTTGGTTAAACACTTATCAAATAATTTTTGAGATCAATAATAATGTTTTAATATTGGGATCGCAAAATTCAAGATTGCGGATCCAATATGGTGAATCAGTATTGAGAGAAACTAGATTCTAGAATGTAATTACTTCCGAATAAAAGATCTGATTGTACATTCAAATACATTATGTTTTTTGGTTTTTTTATTAAAATATTTTTGTTTCATTGTTGAATAAAATTCTTTAGTTCTAACATAGAAAATATTAATAGTTCTCATATTTTTCACGTTAAAACTGAAGAATTCTATTCAACAATAAAAAATATTTAAATAAAAAAAAACTAAAAAACAATTTAATGTATTTGAATATGGAATCAGATCTTTTATTCGAAAGTAACTACATCCTGGCATCTAGTTTCTTTCAATACTGATTCACCATATTGGATTCGCAACCTTGAATTTTGCGATCCTGATATTAAAACATTGATCTCAGAAACTATATTTAATAAGTATTTAATCAGAAATTAGTTTAATTGAAAATTCATTCATGTCGTCTTCAGATCGATCGAATGATGACACTATTTTCAATAGTTTTGATAGCTTTTCAATACTTTCCCCAGGTCTCTACGAAAAAAGGCCATCATTTTTACATCTTATATGGTTCATAGATACTCATACAATTCGAATTTTAGGTTCCAACGATAGTCGGGAAATCGATCTTTTTTAACCTCTTCCTTTGAAACCTGAGTATGTAAAATTAAAGGATATTTTAAATATTTTGCAACGTATAAAATTTATAAATAATTTCATGTATAAAATATAATTCTAATAATGTATAAAATTATTTGTTTTACAATTTAACGATTAATTTATTTGTTATAATAATTATAAAATAACAATAATAATAATAATAATATAAGCATGTAACAAGAATATAATCATAAAATAATAATGATAATATAATAATATAATTATAACACAAAATTACATAGTAATAGTGACATAATATTAATAATCACATTATTATTGTAGCTATTATTTCTATTTATATTTTTCATACTTTAATTAAATAATAACGATATAAAACTATAAAGTCACCAGACGATAATTAAAAAATGGTAATGATTTAATCGACCAACTCTGGCAAATAAGTAATTTAATTGAATTTCACAACGTTTTGGCCGTGGCTTTTGGCCTTATCAAGTGCTGTATAACATTAACAATTACGGGCAAAGAAAAATAAAAATAATAAAATATATAGAAACTTTCACACGTTAATACGCAAACATACCTATGTTCTTAAAACAAAGTAAATCACAACTTTTTTAAAAAACAAAAATTCGATCTTAGAATATGATATGATATAATAACATGATAGTATGAAAACGAAATAACTATGTTAT